TTCGTGGGTAAGAACCTCACTTCTTCAGATGCAAGTCATCTGAAGAAGTGAGGTTCTTACCCACGAAAGCTTATGCTCCCAATACTTCTGTTAGTCTCAAAGGTGCCACAGGACCCTCTGTTGTTTTGTTTTTTTATTTTCAACTTAAATTGTCCCTTTCTTACAATATGCAGATTATAGCATTCTCATTAAATGATCTATGGTCATTTCATTCCAGTTATTAAACATGGCTCTCATTCTCCATAGGGAAGAATTGTAAACGCAAAGATAATTATGGATTGAGGATTTTTTTTTAATCATTTGTGTGCTGCAGCCATAGTACAGTGGGTTGTAACTGTATCAGATATCATGAGGTAAGCAACATTTGAACAAGATCAGTATTTATATGGGAAACCTAAGTGTGCTTTTTTGTGACATATGAAATACTAAATAAATAGTGTTGGTTATCAGTAAAAGACACTTTGCTCAGAGTCAGTATTGAACAAATTATCTTGCATGGTGTTCTATTGATTGTACTCTTAGAGGTCTCATTATTGGAACAGGTTGCAAAGCTGAGGTCCTACACATTTGATGTAAGTAAAAAAAACCCTCACAGGATATTTTGCAACATAAAGCTCTTTCTATTCCCAAGCTATCTGTGCATCTCACCCCAAGCATTGTGTTTCTGTAACAAGCAAAATGAGTCTTATAGTTTGTAAAACATTTTGGGATCTTTTTGGTTGAAAGTCACTGTGTAAACAAGGTCAAAATTAATATTTTTTCTTGAATGACTGAAGGTATTGGGAATGCTTTATATGCCTAAGTTCCAGCTACTTCAATACGTATAACTTTACAGCAAACTCTTCCAAAATATATCCTTAGTCTTGAAATTGGATAATGCAATTTTCTATTATTTTTGACACAAGAACTGGTAAATCATTTTTTTAACTTCCTACTATATGTAATACTGTAATTTGGATAGACACCTTATTTTATATATACAATATTTCTGATGTGTGTGTGTATGTGTGCACGCGTGTGCAAACACACCCCACATACATAATTTATTTCTCAGAGAGAAAATCAAACACACATGCTATTTTAAGAGTCTGAACAACATCTTTCAACAAAGTTTAGCTGCTTTCATTTTGTAGACACTTTTAATTTTATCTGGAAACTTTTTGACATTAGAAATAGAACAACTGTAGTTTCTCATTATGTTTGCTGCCAGAATCTATGCTTGGTTGCTCAACTAAAGACCTTACATTGCTAATTACTTCCACATGCCCATATCCCAAGTGAAGGAAAACTTATTGGTTCTGACAGCCCATTCTCTCAACACTGAATTCCAAATGAAAACTCAAATTTTGGCCAAACATAACATTTCATCAATCTTGTTCTACTGACTGCAAAAGCAACATCAAACAAGGGGTGCTAATGGCTTTTTACTGAGCAGTTCCCAAGCTTATATTCTCTGATGATAGATCCACGTGAGCAAAGGACTTCTTTAAAGTACTTAGTAATTAGCTTTTGAACCAGGAAACAATGCGTAAAGTAAATTGAACAGTCTGTGTGCTGATGACAGAGTGAGTACAATTGACAAGCGATATGGACAGCAGAGACCAACAGAGAAAGAGCTAAAAACAAATAGAGCACGTATAAATAAAGCAAAAAGAAAAAGCTGTGATAAAATAAGATGAAGCAAGCCCCAAAGCTAGCGGGAAGCCTGTGATCTGGGAGTTGAGGCCTTCAGGGTGTGGGAGTTTGACTGAAGATCAGGTCCAAGTTTAGAGACAACAGAGCAATGCTGGGTACCAGTGACAAAAAAAGACTAGACTAGGGGGAAATGAAACTGTATTTTTATAACTGTATTTATTAGGTCGTATTCTCTGCTGATGAAACTCCAATAAGAGTTACACCAGCAAATGCTGTGGTTTTATATTTGAAAAGCTTCTAGACTTAAGAAATCTGGGACTGCATATAGGAAACTGAATAGACAGATATTAAGAGTAAACATTTTGGAGAATCTAGTGATGCCCCTCTCTCATGGTCAGAGAAGGCAAATGACAATGAAAATTTATTTGTTAATCTTGAGGATTATAGACCCAACTGGTCTGAGTGAACTGTGCTAGCAGATTCCGGTACTGGTACTAGTTGTATATTTTAGGCATTTGAGAGTATCTTAAAAAAAAGCCGGGGGGGGGAGGGAATAATGATTAAGGAGTTCTCTGCTTCACTGGGACAGATTGTAATGCTCAGTGGTGTAAGAAATCAGTGAAGGAAAAGCTTTTACTTGTGGATCACATGATGTAAATCTGTGCTCAGGAATTAGCTGGTAAATGGTTACAGATCTTTAGAGACTCTCAACTCAACAAGGAAAAGAAATAACTTGATATTACCATATTCATGTCACATGAACATCATATGTAAAATGATGGTTTCAAAGGGACTAAACTGAAATGCTTAATACTCAAAGATGAGGGGAGGGACAAACAATTCGATTCCACTAAAAAGGATTATTCAGAGTATCCTCTATTATGTTCTGTGGGAAAGTGTATGTGAAAGGTCTTGAGGACAACAGGCCAGTTTTCTCCATCTATTCACTGAAATGGCAGGAGGATGAGCTGAACTCAAGGGAAGATGGGAAAACTAGTAGAGTGGGGGAAAAAAGAATATTATTCTCTCAGTACATAGACCTTATTTGAGACTATTTCCCAACAGATCTAACATGGCTTTCAGATAGACTTGGTTGTAACATGGTCAAGATGGAAAAAAAAAAGGCATTCAATGGAAATGTAAAGCAGTTAATTTTTGAAGGTTTATGTGGCCTGTTTAAGCATAAGTGTTGCTACCAGCCAAAAAGAATTATTCTTATGTGGTTATAGCACTACTCTGATAATGAATTCATTTTTTTTTTTTTTTTTTTTAGGTATTAGCATATCTTTTTTCAGGGTAGGGTGCTTAATGGTTTTAAAAAGGCTGTTCTAAATCCTGAGAAGTGCCGAGCACCTGCAAACGCCAAATTAAGTCAATTGGAGCTGCATGTAGTTAGCATCTCTTAGGATTTGATCAATGAAAAGTAGCAATATCATCTTCCAGTGTGGCCATCATAATGAAATAACCTGGACAACATAAAGGGTCCATCTTGTGTTCTGCCATACCCAATTTTCTCATGGACTGAGTAATTTCAAAATGACGACCAGTATAATTACTTGCTCAAGAGACAATCAAGTGATGTCTAACTGGTTGATGCTTAGAAAAGTGTGATATGACCTTGTTCCACAAGCTAACTGCAGATGCAATAGCAGGGTTCCTTCCAGAATATATCAATTTAGTTCTAGTGGTATCCAGAGACTCTCTAGAAAAAGGGGCAAAATATTGTGACTTGTACCTTAGCATGGCCCAGGTCTCTAATAACATAGTGTGACAACTCTCTGGTGGTGACATTTGATGTCACAGAGCACAAGCATATTAGGCAGTGTCCATGAGTCAGATGTCACCACATTCAGGGGTTCTTTAGCGTGTCACAACCACACCTGGTCTTTTTTGACTTACTTTCTGCCTCGGGTTGAGTTAAAAGTCCCGCCGTATTTCTTCCGATTAAGGATGAGAGCAGCAATTTCTGGCACGTAGCGAGCAAACATTGCCTACATGCATGAAACAAAAAAACAAAAAAGAAAATGGCATGCAGAGAGTGTTCTACTGCAGCAGAGGCAGCAGAGCCTCTTGGAATACTTACTTTCTTCCACTAACCGCACTATAGGAACCACCATATTTCTTGCGGTTTCCTATTAACTCTATGATTTCAGGGACGTAGCTGGCAAACATGGCCTAAGAAGAAGATAGGAGACAGAAGAAAAGACTAAAAAGAGAGGCCAAAGAAAGGGGGATGATGAATATTTTCAGAAGATATATATCTTTTAAGATCTGAAAATGCAAAAGAATTAGACCTTTAAAAGTATTTTTAAAATTAAAAAAAAAGCAAATTATAAAACAAAATAAGAGGGTTCAATGTAAAAGTTGGTCTTGAAGAAGATGTACACTTGGTAAACTAAAGTAATGGTCAAAAGAGGGAAAAAAGCACACAAAACAAAAGAACAAAATAAAGTCAAATTGGCATCTAATTGTAAAATATTGGCTGTGTCTAATTCTTCCTGAAGAGAGGGGAAAAAACTATTCAAAGATTACATGCTACAAAAAACAAAAGTGGATATTACTATTGTTACTTTTTTTTCTTTCTTTTTTTTTTTTTGGAAGATAGATGGACTTTTTTCCCCTTAATGAAGATTCAAAAGAAGACAAAAACAATATGGTGCCAGGCATTTGCCCGCTCTCAAGAATCAAAATGATGTCAACTCCCCCCAAAAAACCCAAAACAAAAACAACCTTTTTCAAAAGGTTTGTTTTTAAAAGATTTGTAAGAATACCTGACAGAAAAAGGTAGTAAGGAGAAAAAAAAATGATCTGCCATGTTTTGTCCAACAAACATCTTGCTTGTGGCTGGATACTTCTAAGAGCTGCTGCCAGTCAACTTGGTCTCTTTATCCATGTGCAAATGTGTGTGTCTTTTGTATGTAAGTGCATATATATTATACATATTGCATTGATAATGTATCTGTTATACATATACCTCCTACAGAGAGACGTATGCATATGTACAATAAATATGTGTATAACAATACATATATGCATGTAAATGTACAATACATATATTGTGAATGAATTTTAATTCACACTTACCTTACAGAGTATAAATCTTAACATAAACTGCTCTTTTAAAAGACAAAATGCAGCAGTTGCTGTAGTGGTGCTAGCAATGATAAAAAAAGATAATTTGACATAGAACAATTAGTAATTTTAGTGCTGTGTACATACTTATTTGAACAGGAAAAGGAGTGATACAATTTGCTGAGTTAAAAGGAAATTTGTTATGTTTATACTAAATGTAGTCTACTGTGAGTGAACATTATGACATGGTTGCATGTTTGAAATTAAAGAGAGCATGGTTTGCTAATGTCTGGATCAGGCATGCTGCTCTTTAAGGCAGTACTAAGCCACAGTGTTTGTTGGAATTCTGGGAAGGAACACAGAGGGTGAGGGAGGGCTCTTGAAACCGCAAACTTCCTTCAAAATATCAATGACCATCATCAAACAATGCACAGTTAGTGTCACTGAAAAGTAATGGACTGTAAATAATACTGTAAATAGAATTGCTAAGGCACTTCATGTATTTACATTACTTTCTTAAATATATTAGAGTGATTCTTACTGTAGATTAATGACAATCTCTGCAAAAATGTGACAAGATCTGGCTTAACAAGATACTTGTCTTATAAAAAGAAAAAGATATGCAGCTGAATTGTTTAAAATTCTTATGATTTTAACTTACTAAACCAGATGCTACAGTTCAGGTTGCTGCTTAATAAACTTTAGGGGATATAAAAGAGCTGCTATTAAAGTAGTAGTAGCAATAAAGAGATTTTACCAATCCCCCGAGGATGAAGAAGACCATGAAAAGGCGACCAAGGGTTGTTTTTGCATAAACATCTCCATAGCCAACAGTGGACATTGTAACCATTAGTAAATAAACACATTCCCAGTATGTAAGTGGTTGGTTATTTTGGAAATTTTCCCATGGATCCCCTGAGTTCTCCACCTACAACATAAAAGGACAAATATAATGATTTAATAGGGCAATAACAGATTAATACTAGTTGTAATTACTTACTTTTGTCTAATTGGCATGCATATAATGCTGGAAACATTTTACCAATAAAGAGCCAAATTCTACCTTAATTAAAGTTGTACAATTCCACTGCTACCATACAGGGTCTTCTTGCTTACGTTACTTGTGGAAAACACTATCACTAATCATTACTAGAGTATTTAGTTCATAATGGAATCCAGATTGTCTCACTTTCCTTTTCCTTTAAAATAACGCACGGCCAATGTTGTCATGTACATAGTAATGGTCGTTAGTTAACCACATATATACGTCATGAGAAACAGATCTTTGGCTCCAAAAACTCATAACTTTTTGTTCCATAAGCAAAAGCTTCTACAATCAAAACTCAAGTCTTTACTAGCTATCAGCAGAACATGATTTATGCCCAATCATCAGAGGGAAAGATAATTACAAATGACTAAACAGTTGAGCAGATCTCACTATACCCAGCAGAGAGAACTGCTATACATATCAAGAGTTCATTATGGCCTGACCAATGAATTGGTTGAGATCTTGTAAGCTACAGTTCTTTTGTAACCACCTATTTTCATGCATCTATAAGACTGGAATTGCCATGCTAGATCAGACACGAGGTCTATCTAGTTCAGCATCCTTTCTCTGACAGTGACCGGTAACAACTTAGTTTGACTATAAAGACTGGTTCCAGTCTAAAATTCATCGAGGAGCAAATTTTCAAAAGGATCCCTGAAGTGAACCTGCAATGCTAGTAACTGCATTAATCTATGCAATCAAAATTCTGGGAGAATTCTGTGCATGCTCAAGTGATAGTCTCCTTTATTCAATTCATGCATAAGTACATGCTGACAAATAGAAGCACTTGAAAATATTTGGGCACAATTTAAAAGGCACCTAATTGAAGAGTCTCTTAAAATTCTGAATATGGAAATAGACAAAACAATTAAAAAAATAAGCTTGCCATTTTTAACCATTCCTCCTAAGCTTCCTGAGCACTTCAGGCTACAAGAATGGGAAGAAAGCAGAGTGACTTTATCTTGTTTCCGAACGGTAAATAAAATGCTTTCAAATTCCAAACAAGGCAACACAGAGATCTGTGTTTAAAATTACTATAGAGCAAAGATTCCCAAACTGATCTATGGATCACTTGCTGGTAGTCCTAGGAGAACTGGCGGTTCCATGGGTCTGCTCCCACACCCCTCTTATTTTTCATCTCTTAAATTTTATTAAAAAGCAGCTAAAATACAGTAAGTAATTTCCAAATTTTATTTCCCCATGTAGCCAGTTATTGCAGTAACCACAGGGATGATATGTGATTATGAATTGGAAGGAAAATATCCATATGATAATCTTTCCATAAGATGTGGTCCACATTATGAAATTATAAAGTTGAGAAACCCCTGCAGTAGAATTGGACCACCTTCACTAAAAAGCATACAAAGAAAGTGTGAAAAACACTGAAACAGAATATCAACGATTGTTAAACTTTTAAAAACCTGCTTCTCAAATCTAGAAAAATAATACCTGAACTACTAATAAATAATTAATAACAATTCATAGCACAATTATAATATGTTTTGTCCATCTCCGGCCAACATAACATCTCCCGCCAGCATAGCGCCAGTGTGGACAGCACTGAGGTTGCTGTAACTTGCATCCTTCAGGGGTGTCTTTTTCATATCCCGGAGCAACCTAAGTTAGATTGACTTAAGCGGTAGTGTAGACCAGGGGTCGGCAACGTTTGGCATGCGGCTCGCTAGGGTAAGCACCCTGGTGGGCCAGACCAGTTTTATTTACCTACTGACGCGGCAGGTTCAGCTGATCATGGCCCCCACTGGCTGCGGTTCGCCGTCCCGGGCCAATGGGGGCGGCGAGAAGCCGCGGCCAGCACATCGCTCACCCGCGCCGCTTCTCGCCACCCCCATTGGCCCGGGACGGCAAACCCAGCCAGTGGGGGCCGCGATCAGCCGAACCTGCTGTGTCAGCAGGTAAATAAAACTGGCCCGGCCCGCCAGGGTGCTTACCCTGGCGAGCTGCATGCCGAACATTGCCGACCTCTGGTGTAGACCTACCCTGAGTCTGGTCTTTTGAAGTCTATGATGATACTTGTATCACAAAAGTCACAGAGGAGTACATTTGTGATATGAGAGAGACAAGGTGGGTGAGAATATATTTCATTGGACCAACTGCTGTTAGGGAGAGACATAGGTGCTGACTTTTATTTTTCCCCAGGGGTGCTCTACCACCACTACACCCTAAGGCCCTACCCCAACTTTGCCCCTTCCCCCAAGGACCCACCCTCTCTTCATCTCTTCCCACACTAGCTCCGCTCCCTCCCCCGAGTCCCAGCCCTCGCTCCGCCTCTTCCCACTCTGCCCCTTCCCCGAGGTCCCCACTCTCCCACTGCTCCTTTATCTCCATCCTAACCCAATCCCCTCCCTGAGCTGCCGATCAAGCTGTTTGGTGGTGCTGCTGATCAGCCGTGCCCCAGATTAGCCGTGCCAACAGCTGTAGCTGGTGGGTGCTGAGCACCCATAATTTTTTTCCCCTGGATGCTCCAGCCCCAGAGCAACCATGGAGTTAGCGCCTCTGGTGAAAGAGACAAGCATCTTTTGAAAGTATTGTGCAGATTTCCTTTGAGGAAGAGGTCTGATAGGTCAGATACAGAGTGATCGCTTTTTGAAGTGTTCACTCACAAGTGCTAGGATGTTTTTGTCTTTTATCATTTTCCTGTGTGATATAGGGGTTAGAAATGTAGTCATCAACAGAAATAAGGACATTATAGGCCATTCCAATTTTGAAATGGTATGTACGATATGAATATTTTCTTAGAGTGGAAAACAGACATTTGGACAAATGACTACCTTCCATAATTAAAAGATCAAGGGTCTAATTTTAACCACGTGTACACTAATGTAAATTCAGAATAATTCAATTGAAGTCAATGAAGTTACTCCAGACTTACACTGATGTAACTGAAATCAAAATCTGGCCCGAAATCTGTTGTTGCATAGATTGATGCTACTAACAACCTGATATCTTATTGACCCTGAGTTAGGCAAAATTATCTGCTACGTAATGTACATCTAAAGTCATATTAAATTGTATTTACAAAATATAATTGACAGTAAACAATTCATTTCAAAACTTCTATTGCTTTTTTAACTTTTAAAATGCAGATTAATGCCATTACTTTACAACTGAGATCTTTTTTAATTATAGAAGTGTTTAAAACATACAGCTAATCAATACTGAATAAGAGCTTAAACCATCAAACGTAGATAATATTTTTGTCACGGTGAAAGTGATATGATTTTTTTTTAAATGAATAAGGCAGAGAACTAATCTCTAAGAACCCTACTCTAAAATGTTAGTAAATCAGATTAATTCTTCTGAAAATACAGAACTGCTTTTTTGGCGAAGCCACGTGTTTCCCAGGATGGCCATTCTTAGAGACAGGGTGTCATTATTATTTATGCTGTACCAGCCTTTTTTGACAAGTACTCTTGGTAATTATTAAGGAAATATTGCCACCTAGTGGTAGGATGTGATTATTAAAAGAGTTCTATTAAAATCCAAGTCCCAGACTTACGTAACTATTTCTGAACCTAAACAGGGAGGTTAATGAAGTGAATATTACTTACTGTTCAGAATTAGTTTTGGATACAAGGCTGGAAAGTCAGGCAGCTGTGATGCCTTTCTTTATTGTTCTTTGTAACAGTGTCAAGGGATTATCCTAAGCAAGGTAATTTCAGGTAATAAAGCAGCTCAGAGGAGCTGATCCATGAAAAACATCCGATGAAGTATTTTCAAGTATACTTACCAAATGTATGAACCCAGCTGCTGTCAGCCATGTGCTGATAAATATAGAGCACAGATTCACCAGCTTGATGGAATTACTGCACAAACAAACAAATATATATTAGTAAGTTGTAACAGGAACACAAGTTATATAAACACACTTTTTAATGAAAGGTTTCAGAGTAGCAGCCGTGTTAGTCTGTATCCCTCGGATAGACACTTTTTAATGAGTATCTGTACACAGAAAGAGAGTTTACTGTGTATATACTTTAGGCCTGAAGTTCCTCATATAGATTTTTGTGGGAACAGGAGCAGGCGCTGTCTGGGAATTTAAAAAATACTGAAAAAATATATGCAAAAAAACATTATTAAATAGCTTGCAATGTCTGCTTTCCCAGATTTTAAATGGTTTTATATGCAGCTTTTGTGAAGCTATTAAATAGAAGGAATGATATTTTAGAAAAGTTCTAAGAGATTTGATCATGATCAAATAGGAGATACCACAGGCCTAAAACATCCATTCTTTCTCTATTGTCACATTACCATTTCCTTTCTTTATTCCTCTTTCCCGCTTTTTTCCTCTGATCATTTCTATTTGGATTCTGAATAGCAATTAGTTCAGCATAATACTTTGGGCTGGATTCTCAGCTGGTGTAGATCCAAAGAACTCACGGGAGCTACATCAATTTACATCATCTTGGAAACAGACCTTTTATACTTATAACATGTATTTGTACATCTCTGCTTTTTTCCTAATCTGTTTCATTTTTTCTGCTTGGTGTGTTTCTTCAGTATGCTTTTTGCTTTTAGCCCCATCTCTTCAGAGACCTTATATATTGTGAGCAGCCCCATTCATGAAAAATGCATTTACTGAGTTCAATGGAATAGCTCATTGCGTATAAAGTTAAACACTGTGTAAATCGTTGCGGGATTGAGATTTTATCCTGCACATATGGAAAATAATCTATGAATAGATTATTGCAGTTAATCTGTAGGCGCTATATTCTGACTGGTAAATTTGGAGCTATGCTGTCATGGAAATTAGGATAATGTAAGGGTGTTAGGTCTCCATGTGAATGTCCTGCCACCTTTGTGGGAAGAGGGGAGGCATTCTCCTTCTGCAAGAGGATGATGAAACTTGCAGTGTACTGGTGCTCCTGTGGGTTTTTCCCATATACGCTATGATTTTGCAACACATTGCTGGTGAAAACACTTCCTTGTTTGAAGGAATAAAAGCAAGAAGGTCAATTTGCTATCTTTTGTGAGATTATTTTATTCATTATTCTTGAGCATTCAAATGGTCAGTAGGTATGCCCGAACATATTTGTTAATCCTGAAAGTTCCACCTGTTTTTGTGCATGGTTTATCCCAAAATTTGTACCAGAAAATGCATTATTAATTATTTTTCTGTTTTAGAAGTTTCAATCATCCAGCCAGAGAGTAGAAACAATACCACGTGACTCAGGTGATGGATTGCACATTCTGAATAAGGACTAGTTGATGTGAATGCATAGCATAAACTTTCTTAATATTATTTGACTAAATGTTTGCAAGTATCAAATACATGAATAGATATCAGGATCAGTTAGAGAACAATATGCAAATAGGAAAAAGGGTTAAATAGCAATGAATATTATTATATTATAAATGATTTGACCACATCTACTCTTGATATTAGTAGTTCAGCTAACATCAAGCTAAAACTTTACATAAAGTAAGTTTTCCTTTTTATAAATACACAAAAATATTATGAATCCATAGAGTCCATGTTGCTGTAATTCAATCTCATTTTCAGCTAATAACAATCCCCCAGCTAATAAGCAAGCCTAATTTTAATGCTTTGATTTTAAATACTCTTGAAGTGTTTTGGAAAACTTTATTAGTGGCTGCAGTAATCTAGGTTGGAAGATGTTCTTGTGTAGGAACTATTTTTTCCTAAAGCTTTTACAGACTGATACATCATGGCCCTGACCCTTCAGTCCCCTCTGGATGTGTATTTGCATGTCTTTAAATGTTTATGGGATCAGAACCCAGGTCTGTAGCTATACTGGGTCTTGAGCGATAGAAAGTAGACAAGGAGGATAATATGGTGTTTTTTAATTGTCCAATCATATATAATTTGGGGCTAAATTGTAGCTATTAAAGGCATAGCTTCATTAGGGGGAAAAAGGAGTTGTGGATGTGGCAATGCACTAATGATAGTGGCCAGATGTGGTAAAGATTAGGCTTCCAAATTAAATAATGTTCACATTTACAGTTCATACATAAGACCCCATTTTGCAAATTACTCTGTACAGATGAACCTCTGCAGCCCCACTGGAGTCAAGTTACTTTGCCCCATAAGATAGGATGTTTTTTTCTAAAAGATATTCTTTAGTTCAAACCAGAATTCAGCTTTGGCCCATGTGACCCTCAGGGCCCTACAGGTAGTATATATATTCTGTGGATGTGGCCTGCATAACACACAGAGAGCTGCATATGCAGCCCACAATGATAAATAGGTTGAGAACCTCTGGGGTAAGGTTTGATTTTTACACTTATTTATAAATATATTTTTATACATCTGTTTTTTGTTTTATAATTAAATTTAAAAGGCTCTTCTTAAAGAAAAGAGGGTGCAAGTACTGTTAGTGTTTTTTATTTTAAGAGTAACCTTCACACTGGTAGAAGATAATGGATTAAAAAATGTGATTTACTGATTGATCAAATGCTTGTCATTCAGTTTGCTAAGTACAGTCATATTCAGCTGTCTGAACGTCTTTGAGCAATACTCTGAAATAGACTGACACCCCAATCCAGCATGCGGATAACTTTAAGTACGCCAGTTGTCCCACTGGAGTAGGTAAATGGATAATATTATATTATATCATATCATATCCTATTGGTGGTTATATTTGATCATAACATAGGATTCAAACCTCTGTGTCCTTAGATTAGACCAAAAGGCATCATTCAGAAGGATGCAGTGCTTCGTTATCAAAGTCTGAATATTGCTCATCCATGAATTTCAGGGGGGAAAAACTTCTCAATAATGCAATAATATGTCAATCGGCTTCCAGGTGCTATCTTTATTTTTATATATAGATATATAAAAATAAATAAATGGTATTGAAGCACTACTTTGATTCTTCTTGAGTCTATTTTATTTTTTACATGTTTATTCATAATTGTACCTTGTCTGTCCTTTATGAAATACCCCCATCTTTCTGCCAGAGACTAAATATAGATGAAAGATTAGTCACAAACATTTTCCTGCTCTTTAAGCTCTTTCCAACATCTGTGCAAAATCCCTTATTGTGAGGCTTACCTAAAGCCCTGTAGTTCTATTGAAACCTTGTATAAAACGGTGAAGGGAAAAAACTAACTATATTCAATCTTCTAAAACATGGGAGAAAAAAAAATAACAATTCTGAAAAAGATACATTACATTTCATAGGTAAGTACATAAACTTTAAATTAGTAAGGGACATGGTTAGCCTCCTAGAGGTTCAGTTTACACAAGTAGGTGGTAAACTCTTTCTGCATCCATAGAGGGTCTGCTAAAGAACAGTTAGGCATTTTTTAAATGTTCTGATAATTACACAACACCCAACAACTACCTGTTTAATATACTCCCTTTCCATTTGTAAAGTGTTCTAGCTGCTTCCTGTGGATCACAGTATTATGAATGGCCCTTCTGCTGATGGTATGAATGAGATTTGTTCCTTTAATCCGAGTCCTTCAATTGCTACATTCACTCAGCGTCTCTCTTTGACTTTGTATTATAGAAAATAAAACCTTGCAGGCAGTAATTTTAATTTAGGGGTTAAAGTCAATAATATTTTCCAAGGGAGGGGAATTCTCTTCCTTCCCAGCAAGACCAGATATTACAGGCACTGTCTTTGCACATGAGATAGAGAAGAAGGGATGTGCTGCATAACCCATCAGTATTACACCATACTTGTCAATAGATGTTGCTGCTGAACACACAACATACTAAAATGGTCCCTTATGTTATTTGTTTAGAGCATTCTTCACACAAGCATGGATCACTTTTAAGAGAGGAATATGAAATAATACATTCAGAATTGTTTAAATAATCCAAAGAGTTAATGTTTAAAATATAATTATTTCAGTGTTGATAATGATAAATTGTATTTATTATTGCAGCTGAACATTTCAGGCTCTATCCTGAGCCTTCTGATATTTGGCTTGTCTTGCAAATCAGCTGCTATGTGTGCATGCATTTCCCATTGGCCTCAACAGTATTTGGCCTTCATATTCAGATATGAACAACAATATTTTAAAATGTCTACAGAAGCATAATATAGGATCCTACAATGTTTTACGGCTCTCTCTATCCAGGAGACACTTCACCTGTGGCTGAAGTGAAGTCATCTGCATGATAGAATGCAGCAGCTGTTTTACAGCATACAGTTCTAAATCACAGGTTAGGGCAGAAAGTGAGGAACACCTCTGTATATAACAAACTTCTGTTAGAATTTATGTAGGCAGAATATATTTAATCAAAAAAAGGAATTTAGTGAGTTAACTGAGTTAACTGTTCTAACTCTTGCAAAAGTGCTAAAAGATGATTAGTAACCACAAGTGGTCAGCACCTTGGTTTTACATCTTATCTGAAAGATTATAATACAAAAATATTATGAAAAGCTTTCTTTTTCCACATTTGATTTTATTTACAGAATAATTTTGATATATAGCACCTATGAGCATCGCTGATGGAAATAGTTTTTGTTGGTGCTGGCTAGAATTCCACACAATTTTTGTATGTATGGCTTATCACAATGGGCTTTAATGCTAGGTGTGTCTGGTTACAAGTTATACTTAAGTGCATGATTAGCATGGAACATTTTGTTCCATTATTAATTATTCTTAATGCTTATTAGATACATTTTCCTCCCTCTTTCTTTTTCTGTTTTTAGGTTATGGGGTTAATTTTGCACATTGTATCCATTTAAAAACACCACCACCAACAATAAAGCTTCCAGGTCTAATTTCAGGTCTAGTATAACTGAAGGCAACTGCATTGAAGTCAATAAAATAATATCCATTCATTCCAGTTTGGCCCACAAATTTTATACAATGATACTTTTTGGACACCAGTAGTATTTTATACTATTAAATTGTCTTTAGGTTTATTAAATGAGACATGAGATATCAGATGTGCCTGATTACTGCATGCTCAAGAATAGGGTGGGACACATGAAACAATTTATTTTGAGGCCTTTGATGATTTTTAAATTAAAAGAATTGTTTAGTGATAAACCAGTTTGGGTTAATCAACTGAGTAAAACTGAAAGGCAGCCACATAAGTAAGCTGGATTTGAAGGGCTTTATAGTAATCAGAACAGGAGATTTACGGATGCCTGCATATTCATGTAAATAATTACAAAGATGATGAGCATCTAATTTGGGAGGAAAGTTTGGCACCAGACAAATGTTGTTATGAACAAAGGGGTCAAGTCCTAAGCCAGCTTTAAATGGAACACATTTAATTAATGCATCTCCCCTTCACTTACAGTTCTGGAGCCTTAAAATTCCCACCACTCCCGAAGGGGATTTGAACCTTTATCCAAAGCCTACTGAAGTCATTGCGAGTCCTTCTATTGACTTCAGTGGGCTTTGGATAAGATTCTTTGTGTTCTGCAAGGAGATTTTAATACACTGAGTTTCTGTAACAATTACACTTTCTCTCTGCAGGACCAGTGGCATTTTAAGGCTACAGGACTGTAGTTTCTCTTTGTGTGTATTAAACTAGTTTCATTATTTTAAGAAGAAAAACTACATTGGCTACATGCTCACACAGTTCCAGGCAGATCTTAAGCCAGTTCCAGAGTCATTTAGGATCTCTTTCAATATGAAAGGTTGACTAATGAGAACAGTTTAAAGGTTTTAAAGGGTTGCAGAGCCTGCTGGTTGTCATGAACCTGTGCACATCTGAAGGGTCTATTTATTCACCAACAGTAGGGTGATGTACATGGGTTCATTGCTCATTAAGGGTAATAAACTCCACCTGAGTTACACACCCTCAAATACGTGATGATGAATCAATAGGGAAAGAGAAGGGGGATTTTAAATTGGAACTGAACTTCTAGTATTTAAAAATAATTACTAGAACATTAGTTCAATATTTTAGCTGGTGTATTTTCATGCATGTTAAAAAGTTAATCCCTTTGCTGCTGTGAAACATGGCACAGTCCCTTTGGTGCTTCAAGGTGATTAACTAATGCGCATAGTAGTAGCTAATGTGCATTCTGCTTCCCATACCAAGTATGTTCAGCCACACAAAAGCAGTTAAAATGGGAACAACACTGTTGTTAACTGAGGTATTTTAAACATCCTTCTAAAGGAACGCTTATGACAATGAACGGAATGAGATATCCAGAGTGGAAAATCAATGTAAAAATGTTTTTGAAATCTAAGATTTTCATAATGATGAAGAACCATAATGATTATCTCTAAACTGCCATCTCCCTGTTGAGTATTTTGTTGGGCAAGTTATTTCTAATTTAATGAGACAATAAAGTAGGGATCCAGAATGAGGAAGGATGGATTATTTAAACAATGTGTAGATCTATCACTCTGCCTTTACATTTATAATCACTCAGTCCCTTGAATATTACAGGTATAAAAATGTATCAAGTGAAATATCCACAGATGATATCAAAGAGACATTTAAATTGATAAACCATTCACCAGAAATACAGGATGGAATGGGAATTTAGAAAACAAGAGATGACTATATATTTGTATGAGAAATAAGACCATATATTAGGAGGCACTTAGTTCACCAATGCAACAGGTTCACCAATGAAACTAGTCACCAATTAAACTAATAATCACATTTACTAAAAGATGGAATAGCTGCATGGATGAGGCTCAAACATGACTTGACTCATGAATGTGCCTTAGAGTCTAGTGTCTTTAATGAAAATTACATCAGGAAAAAAAGTCAAAAGGGTTGTGTGTGTGTGTGTGTGTGTGTGCGCGTGCACATACACACATACATATATATAAAACATTTGCGTTTTGGTGTGTGCTATTCAAACCATAACTTCCATTCATTCTAATGGCATTATGAAAGGAGAAATTACCTCTGACTATGACTATAAACTGGAGAAGACAGACTACAGACAGGTTAAGTAGGTATTAAAGTCTTACCTTGTTTTTAGGATATTCAGAAACTGCAAAATTTCTGAAAACTGTATCAGTCTAAGGGCTCTTAAAAATCTTAAACCTGCATAAAAAGAGAATCAGACATAACTCCAGTGCACAGTGACCCATACTGTTATAACATCCGATTTATAATGGTAACAATCAATTAAATCAATGGTATGTAGCATACAGAATGTCAAATACCTTTGAAGTGTTCTTCCATATTTAATAGTCCCAAGATCTTGACCAGCTTTTTTCAGTTTAATTTAGATCTGTTTCTATACCCTACCAGAAATGCATACTTCAAGTATTAAGTTATCGTGTGGGAAATTTAAACAGCTATGATTACCTCAGAGCTAAGAAGAAAAAACTTTACTTAGCCTCAGTTGGTAGTCTTAGTGCCCATATTCCTCTCTTCTAGAATGGCTTACTTTTGCAAATATAGATATATAGATACTCCTGAAAGCTCACAACTCCCCCAGTGCTTAGCAAAAACTAAGAGATTATGGGCAAGAGATCTGATAACCTGATTTTTGAAGAAAAAAAAACCCAGACAGTGGATAGGCCTGATTAAATTGGTAATTCTTAATGACGTAAAATATTTTATTAGGTATAATGCTCCATATCCCCACCCCAAACTCTAAAACTTCAGACAGGGATATGTAGTTACCATGTACTGTGGCTTTAAAAAAGGTAAAACTACTGCATTTGCCTTCAAGCAGGTTACAATTACAGTAAATGACTGAACTTTGGTTCTTAGAAAAATAATATTTATAAAGAGATAGCATTGAGTTGTTGAAATCAGGTTGCTTGGATAGCAATTCTCAGACAGCTGCAGGGCCAGACAGAGAGAGCGAGCGAGAGAGCAAGAGAAAATACCATAAAAGATTAAGGGCTTAAATTACTGAGAGACTTATGCTGGTACTAAACAATTTTGCTGCAGATCTTTGGCATATGAGTAAAGGTACATTGTGTATTTTATATATACAGCTTATAAAGTTAAACAGAAGGCTTTTGAGGATTTTTTTTTTTTAACTGCACAGTAGGGCCAAGAGTTACATAAAAATTGCTTAATATGGTAGCTTGACCGCTAGGGTTGGGCCTAGGGCACGTCAACTCATGCATCCTCCTTACTGACATGTTTAATTTAGTAACAACTAATAATCTCATTTAGCACATATACAGCACTTTCTATTTTCAAAGTGCTAACTAAGGATACAATGCTACAAAAACTTAACCACATGTACAACTTGACTCATAGCAGTTGACTCCAGTGGGACTACTCACAAAAGTGAAATTATACATGTGTTTGCAGAGTTAATTTTACAACACGCCAGTGGGGTAGTTACATATTATTATTCTTATCGTCATCATTATTTCCAAGTGATGCAAAGCAGTCTTAACGAGGTCGAAGATCTTATGTGTAAAATGGGCATAATAATACTTCATTGAGTACTTTACAAGGGTATAGTGAGAATTAATCAAGATTTGCAGAGTCACCTGAGATCTAGATTAAAAAAAAAACAATACAAAACTGTTCGATATTACTAAATTTTCCATATGATCCCAATTATCAAGTCAGTAGTTTAGGAACAGGTAACAAGAAAGCTAAGCTATATCATCCGGTTTCAAAAGAAAAGTCTGCTTCTTGGAGACAAAAATAACCAAAAGCTGCTAAGAAGGCTGGGAAAGGTTATGGTTAGCTCCAAAATCTCTATTTCCAACTCCTCACAGTGATTTTTACCTAGTTTAAATGGTCAGACAAAGGAGGCACAACACACCAAACAGCAAATGGTTACAGTAAATTGTTTGCTGCAGCTGAAAAATCATTAGCAGTGAGGTTCTACAATTGCTATAGCCTACATCATTTTAAAAATGTTCCTTCAGGGAATACTACTTGAAAAAGAAAGTGAATGGGTTAGAGGCCAGTTTACTTAAAAACAGCACTGCTCAGGGTGACACAACCCTTGCATCTTTTTCATGAAGCCATCTTTTTTGCGTCGTTATCAGTTTATTGCCAAGGTGAGTCTTTTGAAATGAAGGTGAAGCATCAAATCCCAGAAACTATATAGCATGTGCCATGAATGATATCCAAAGATGGTGAATAGGAATGCGGTAAAAATAACACTCTCATCATGGCATCTGATATTTCCTCATCTGTGGACCTGAACCTAAAACACTAAAACAAACTTTTCAGAAGGTTCTGAAATACCTGTTTAGCTTCCTCAACCAACGTTTATAATTCTTGCATCGCTGCACATCCAAACGGAAGCCAGGACAGGAAATGCCATCATAATAAAAAGGCAGACTATCCTACATGTATTACTACCCTGACTGGAATCACAGAGGGAATTTTACAGCAACCTGCTCTGACAACATTTCCAGCTAATGTTTTCTGGAATTAATAGGTACACATATTAAGGATAAGCATGGGAAAACTAAGTTTTTTCAGTGCCCTTCTGAATGGAACCCAAAGCTTTATACCTGTATTACTACTAGTGCTCCCAATTTATGCTGTTTATTTCTCTTGATTTTTACAAAAATTCATTGCTGATATTTTAGGAGAAAAAATATGTTATAAATATTCAAAAATGTTTTTGAATTATATAAAAAACTGCCTTCCTCTGAAACCCTGCACATTTGGTGAAAGTTTGGGACGCACCATTCAAACTGAGTTGGGACATCATCATTTTCCTCGGATAAAATTCCCCTACATGAAGCACATTTAATCAGAACAATTTAGGGAGGCTAAATACATCCTCCAAAATGGAACCAAACCACATGCCTATAGTGAAACACCCCTGTTGACCCTTGATGCCTGATATTGGAAGGTTTATGCTGATGTTTAAACTAAAATTTATATGTTAGGAAAAGTGAATATGCTTAAAAATGTTAATATTAGAGCTCTATCGCAAGAAGTGAAAAACAAAATGTATAAATAGTGGAAATAGACTTTGCAATAAATTTGAGGCCTAATGGAGGCTAGCAGTTAGCATAAGGCCTAAATTCTTCACATAAGTGCTTGACCTAGAATTATAAGTTTTAACAATACGTATCTTGTGATAAACAAGTAAACAGCAAAGGAACTGTTGACCTGTGACCCCTGACTTATCTTGGAAGGTTTATGCTTAAAATCGAACTATAATCTAAATATTAGGGAAAATTAAAATGCTTAAAGATGTTGATAATAAAAATAATTAAAGCTGTAATGCAAGTAAGGAAAACAAATGTAAAATTATGGTTATAGGCTTTACAAAAGTATGAGACCTACATACTGTAGTTGTTAGCCTATAGTGCTTGTCCTAAGGTTATAAGATTTTGTGATAAACAAGAAAACCACAGAAGGGCATTTTACACTTGAAATAATGGATTTGGGGGGGATTTTTGGTAAACGTATTAATGTGTTGGAAATATTGGGAAATTTATGATGCAAGTATCTTATGCTAGCAAACAGAACTTTAATTATGGTTCCCTGGAATGACAAACATGGGCAGAAGGCTGAGACCTAAATCAAATATGGTCCTGGATGTGTGTGTGTGGGGGAGGAGGGGGTAAGGAAAAAGGATACAAAAATACAGTCAGACCAGCCTCTGGTTGGGACACTGGGATGACAGGATGGTGGAAATCTGAAACATAATTCCCACTTACTTTTCCTAACATCTTTCCCTTCTCTGATGCTTCTGGGTGGTCTTCAGAAGGTTGTGACTATGCATAATGGTGACAGTTTCCCTACACTTGTTTTACTTGCATGTATTTAAGTACTAAATATAGTCCTCATGTCTGTGTGTGATTCACCAAACTCATCTTCTGTAATACATTTACATAGCCACCTGAGTAAACGAACCTGTTATTAGTTACTTGTGCATCTTGCACTCTAAATTAATCAAAGGCTACAGAACAGACTAAGCTTAAAATGATAGAGTTTTATGGGCTTTTGGAATATATATCCATGGAACAAACCCACATTTACATGTCAAAACCATTGTGAAATGCATTGACATAAATTGGTCATACCAGCCGGAATCCCAACATTGGTCTCCGAGAATACCAAACATGGGAAGGGGACTGAGACTTAATCAAATATGGTCCCAGACATGTGTGGGTGTAAGGGAAAGTGTATTGAAGAGTTCTATGCCTAGTCCTTAGTTGGGACATCACGATGACAGGACATCGGAAACCTTATTGTCACTCCCATTTACAGTGCTTCTCCAGTTACTATTCTTTCCATCTTCATTCCAAATGATCTCCATAAGGTTGTGAGTATGCACATTGCAGGGCATTGTTTTGCTACACTTATCTTTATTTTTCTTTGCTTATAATTATACTTGCACCCTTGAATTTCAGTACTAAATAAGCAACAGGGCGTCCTGTGGCACCTTTAAGACTAACAGAAGTATTGGGAGCATAAGCTTTCGTGGGTAAGAACCTCACTTCTTCAGACATCTGAAGATGCCACAGGACCCTCTGTTGCTTTTTACAGATTCAGACTAACACGGCTACCCCTCTGATACTTGAGTACTAAATAAAGTCTTCATGTCTCTACATACATAAAAACATAACCTATGAGAGAAGATTGAAAATGGCCCTTGAGGATTTCCACCAGGATTTCAACAATTTCCAACCCACATCAACCTCAGCCTGGACCAGTCTACACAAGAGATCCACTTCCTGGACACTACAGTGCAAATAAGTGATGGTCACATAAACACCATCCTGTACCGGAAACCTACTGACTGCTATACTTACCTACATGCCTCCAGCTTTCATCCAGACCACATCACATGATCCACAGTCTAAAGCTAAGCTCTAAGATACAACCGCATTTGCTCCAATCCCTCAGACAGAAACAAACACCTACAGGATCTCTATCAACTGTTTTTAAAACTATAATACCCACCTGCTGAAGTGAAGAAACAGATTGACAGAGCCAAAAGGGTACACAGAAGTCACCTACTACAGTACAGGCCCAACAAAGAAAGTAACAGAACGCCACTAGCTGTCACCTTCAGCCCCCAACTAAAACCTCTCCAGTGCATCATCAAGTATCTACAACCTATCCTGAAGGACGATCCCTCACTCTCA